GAGGACACCTATTTTATGAGAGAAGACTAAGGTAGGACTAAGGTAGAGGACACCTATTTTATGAGAGAAGACTAAGGTAGGACTAAGGTAGAGGACACCTATTTTATGAGAGAAGACTAAGATAGGACTAAGGTAGGACACCTATTTTATGAGAGAAGACTAAGGTATGTGACTTTTTAAATTGAGAAAGACAAGTCAAGTGACCTGTTCTATCTGTAGACTGATGCAGCAATTGTATGGGTAGGATAAGACAGGACTTGTTCTTAGTTAGACCTTAGTCAGGTGACCTACTTTATGGGTAAATAAGTCAGGCAGATGACCTACTTTATGAGTATATTAAGTCAGGTGACCTACTTTTTGAAGAGACTAAGTGGGTGACCTACTTTATGAGTAAATTAAGTCAGGTGACCTACATTTTTTGTAGATCAAGTCAGTGACCTACCTTTTGGGTTTAAATAAGTCAGGTGACCTACTTTACAAGTAGACTTAGTCAGGGGACCTACTTTATGAGTAGACTTAGTCAGGGGACCTACTTTATGAGTAGACTTAGTCAGGGGATGTACTTTATGAGAAGATTAAGTCAGGGGGCCTACTTTATGAATAGACTTAGTCAGGGGACCTACTTTATGAGTAGACTTAGTCAGGGGACCTACTTTATGAGTAGACTTAGTCAGGGGACCATCTTTTNGAAGATTAAGTCAGGGGGCCTACTTTATGAATAGACTTAGTCAGGGGACCTACTTTATGAGTAGACTTAGTCAGGGGACCTACTTTTTGGGTTTGAATAAGTCAGGGGACTTACTTGAAGGGTAGAATAAGTCAGGTGACCTTCTTTTTGAGTAGACTAAGATGGTTGACCTACTTTATAAGTAGAATAAGTCAGGGGACCTACCTTTTGAGTAGACTTAGATGGGTGACCTACTTTATGAGTAGACTGAGTCAGGTGATCACTTCCTTACAAGTTTACCTATGTCAGGTGTCCTATTCTGTTGGTGGACTAAGTATTGCTTTGTATTATTGTAAGATGCTATCTCTGGTGACTAGATCAATATATATATGTAACTGTATCCCTACTGTATCAGTGAATGTATCATTTGTTTTCTACTTACAGGAAAGCTTGTGCTACTACAGAGGATAAGTTGGTACAGACTGAAGACCAGGGATTACTTACCTCCTTTGTATTTCTTGGATTTTACAACCAATTTGTGGTCAGATTACTTACGACACTCTACATTTTACCGATCACAGGACAAACGTTGTGTATAGTGCCTTTTAAATTACCAAAATTTCGTTTTCAATTTTCTTCAAAGACAATTTTTCCTGTGGTATGAATTTCTTACGGAGAAGGTTTAGTTCTGGGGACCTACAGGGCGAACTGAAAGATGAAAATTCTAGTATACTCACTTTCAAAAAGGGGCCGTCCCCTAGCGCCCCCAACTCCCCATCAAAGTCTATGTCAGGAGCAGGAATCCCGAGGGCCCCGGTATCCAACAACAAACCGGCATACAACAAGGACAGATGTAAAACACTGCTCGTCGTTGACGACCATCACACTGACTGGTTCGTATATTACATTACTTTTTTAACCAAATGAATACACAGCTTTTTACTTAAAAATCCTTTGATTAAAAAGAGTTAAGAAATATCAAATGAAATAACAAAGTGTAATTAATTGTTTAATTCAACTCAATTTGATACGATCAATTTGAAATCAACTGTTTGAATGGTGAAACATCTAGAATGTCAAGTTTAAATTTGAAGCCTAAAACAGAAAACAACTCCCAAATCAATTTGAAAGAACAGAACTGAAAACAAAATATTTACAGATGAAAACATATTTCTATATATGCAGGATTATGTATCCTATAATACAGACTGACATGTTTATCCGTGCAGTGGCTTGCTTTTAATGACTCGCATTGTCAATGGACCATAAAAGATATCAGATTTAGAAACAAAGGAATGCCGTGGCAGAGATAAATGAATAGTCTTGTTCTCCGTGTAAGGAAAGTATGTGGAAACACTCTGACGTACAAGAAATCTCGTCGTTACGTGAAGTGCGACCAAACCTGACCCTGGACATTCTGTCTACCCTGCCTCATCAGAAGGTTCTATTACAAGAATAGATCGCTAGTTATTACCCATTTGGGAAGTATCCTTAGATTGGACAGTTGATTACAATGTCATGGAGTAGGGAAGTATCCTCTGGGTCGGACACCCTTTGATTGCAATTTACATTTAATTTGGTAATTGTATATCTAATATGTAAAAGATCCGAATTAAATTCCAAATTAATCAATTGATTATTTAAAGTACCTCAGTATGTTTCTATTAAGACAGAAGAAAACATTTTCAGAATAGAGCTGTTCAATCTTGTTATCACACTACATATTGTGTAGGGTTGGAATTGTACAATCCATTGATTGGCTGAAAAACAGCATTGTTAGGTATTTCTAACTAGACTTACATCGAAATAATTGAATCCCTTTTAAATAAGGTATTGATCAAAGGTTGATATTAATTGAAGGTATTATGAAAAAAAATGTTTGCATTGATGAGTTGAGTTGATTTTTTGATCAATATGCTTGACCTGTTTATTACTTCCCTCTGCTGCGAAGGTTTCAGACACTTTTCTCTGTGAGGGAGAATATAACACAATAATTAAATGGGTGTTTATTCTTCTCCTCGATATTCAATCAGTCAATATGGAAATGAAATGGAACTTTTTGATTGATTGAAAATCAAATATTGTGCAATTTTGATCAGGTTTGGTTTGAATGATTTATGGCTCTGTTAACTAACTCTATTTCGACTTCCGATATTCAATTGGACAAGATGGCCATTGCAGATTGGCCACCAATTTGTGGAAATTTTGATGTGGCTTATTTTTTTTTCTAATTGAACAAGTTGGACATTGCAGCTTGGCTTCTATTTGGTCTTGTGAAGGACTCCAACATCCCAGAGAAGTCTGAAATGTAATGGTCCTGTCATGATCAGGTGCTTAGAGCCCTGACAACAAGATTATTAGACTCGTTCATGCCTAGGGGTGTAGGATAAGGAAATTCCACCCAAGGGGTTTTCAAATATGGTGTATCCTACGTATGCACCCTTGAGCATGAAATAGTATTTTTCTCTCATTCCAACCACCAGAATAAGTTCAGAAACCATGAAAATGCGTTTGGTCTGGCTACCATTTTGACAATTCACTCGATTTTCCCCCTGAGCTTTTCAGACAAAAACAAATTAGCCAGCCAGATTTAGCATAACCCATAATTGCAAACAATGATTCCGCAGAAAAACTAACCACATCTTTATAGTGTGTACGGCAAATACATCGTAAAAAGTTTTAATTTCATCATGTTGCCTTTTCTGCTTTGCAGCATCGGAGAGTTTCAAATTTGTGACGTCACGTCATTGTTGAGCCATTGTGACATCACGTCACATGAATTGGGGTGTAAGATAGACATTTCCTACACCCCTTTCTTACCCTGGACAGCTCTATATTACACACAGGGAAATGAGAGAAAAACTAAGGCTGTATGTCTGGTGCTTTAGGGGAGACATTAAAATACTATTTGTTTCTGTTGTAGGTCAAAATATTTTCGAGGGAGAAAGATTTTTGGTGACTGGGATATAAGAGTAGAACAGGTAAGAACCTTAAATTGTTTTAATTACTTCATGATAATTTATTTCAAAACCAATCAAGTAAAATTCTAACTTAAATAAAAAAGGTTGATGTAGTCATTTAACTTTTTTTTAGCAGTGTGATAACCATTGTAAGTGTTTTCATCAAGGATATAGATGTACTTTGATTCAAGATGAAAACACCCCAGGGTATATTGCCCCTATTGGGGGATAGAATGGATAAATGTGGCAACTTCAATTTTAATCAATCTGAGGGAGGATTATGTCTGCATTCTCATAAAGAACGATGTATAGAAATACCTTTGTTTCACATGCAAAGTATAATTTTACCCCATGCATTTTTTGAGACCACTCATGATGTAAACACCTTTTGAGACCTCCCCATTTGCATGATGTAAACACCATTTGAGACCTCCCCACTAACATGATGTAAACACATTTTGACACCTCCCCACTAACATGATGTACACACCTTTTGACACCTCCCCACTTACATGATGTAAACACCTTTTGACAGCTCCCCACTAACATGATGTAAACACATTTTGAGACCTCCCCACTTACATGATGTAAACACATTTTGACACCTCCCCACTTACATGATGTACACACCTTTTGACACCTCCCCACTCATATGATGTAAACACCTTTTGACACCTCCCCACTTACATGATGTAAACACCTTTTGACACCTTCCCACTAACATGATGTAAACACATTTTAAGGCCTCCCCACTTACATGATGCAAACACATTTTGACACCTCCCCACTTACATGATGTAAACACATTTTGACACCTCCCCACTTACATGATGTAAACACCTTTAAACACCTCCTCACTTACATGCTGTACACACCTGTTGATACCTCCCCACTCACATGATGTACACACCTTTTGACACATCCCCACTCACATGATGTAAACACCTTTTGGCACCTCTCCAATCACATGATGTAAACACCTTTTGACACCTCCCCACTCTCACATGATGTTAATACCTTTTGACACCTCCCCACTCATATGATGTTAACACCTGTTGACACCTCCCCACTCACATGATGTAAACACCTTTTGACACCTCCCCACTCACATGATTTACACACATTTTGACACCTCCCCTCTCTCACATGACGTAAACACCTTTTGACACCTCCCCACTCACATGATGTACATACCTTTTGACACTTCCCACTCACATGATGTTAATACTTTTTGACGCTTCCCCACTCACATGATGTTAATACCTTTTGACACTTCCCCACTCACATGATGTTAATACCTTTTGACACCTCCCCACTCACATGATGTTAGTACCTTTTGACACCTCCACGCTCACATGATGTACACACCTTTTGACACTTTCCCACTCACATGATGTAAACCCCTGATGATACCTCCCCACTCACATGATGTTAGTACCTTTTGACACCTCCCCACTCACATGATGTAAACACCTTTTGACACCTCCCCACTCACATGATGTAAACACCTTTTGACACTTCCCCACTCACATGATGTACACACCTTTTGACACTTCCCCACTCACATGATGTACATACCGTTTGACAGCTCCCCACTCACGTGATGTAAACACCTTTTGACACCTCCCCACTCATATGATGTAAACACCTTTTGACACCTCCCCACTCACATGATGTTAACACCTTTTGTCACTTCCCCACTCACATGATGTAAACACCTTTTGACACCTCCCCACTAACATGATGTAAACACCTGATGATACCTCCCCACTCACATGATGTTAATACCTTTTGACACCTCCCCACTCACATGATGTACACACCTTTTGACACCTCCCCACTCACATGATGTACACACCTTTTGACACCTCCCCACTCACATGATGTACACACCTTTTGACACCTCCCCACTCACATGATGTTGATAATTTTTGACACCTCCCCACTCACATGATGTAAAAACACCTTTTGACAACTCCCCGCTCACATGATGTTAACACCTTTTGAAACCTCCACACTCACATGATGTAAAAACACCTTTTGACACCTCCCCGCTCACATGATGTTCACACCTTTTGACACCTCCCCACTCACATGATGTACACACCTTTTGACACCTCCCCACTCACATGATGTACACACATTTTGACACCTCCCCTCTCTCACATGATGTAACAACACCTTTTGACACCTCCCCGCTCACATGATGTAAACACCTTTTGACACCTCCCCGCTCACATGATGTTAACACCTTTTGACACCTCTTAATTCACATGATGTACACACCTTTTGACACTTCCCCACTCACATGATGTTAATACCTTTTGACACTTCCCCACTCACATGATGTTAATACCTTTTGACACCTCCCCACTCACATGATGTACATACCTTTTGACACTTCCCACTCACATGATGTTAATACTTTTTGACGCTTCCCCACTCACATGATGTTAATACCTTTTGACACTTCCCCACTCACATGATGTTAATACCTTTTGACACCTCCCCACTCACATGATGTTAGTACCTTTTGACACCTCCACGCTCACATGATGTACACACCTTTTGACACTTTCCCACTCACATGATGTAAACCCCTGATGATACCTCCCCACTCACATGATGTTAGTACCTTTTGACACCTCCCCACTCACATGATGTAAACACCTTTTGACACCTCCCCACTCACATGATGTAAACACCTTTTGACACTTCCCCACTCACATGATGTACACACCTTTTGACACTTCCCCACTCACATGATGTACATACCGTTTGACAGCTCCCCACTCACGTGATGTAAACACCTTTTGACACCTCCCCACTCATATGATGTAAACACCTTTTGACACCTCCCCACTCACATGATGTTAACACCTTTTGTCACTTCCCCACTCACATGATGTAAACACCTTTTGACACCTCCCCACTAACATGATGTAAACACCTGATGATACCTCCCCACTCACATGATGTTAATACCTTTTGACACCTCCCCACTCACATGATGTACACACCTTTTGACACCTCCCCACTCACATGATGTACACACCTTTTGACACCTCCCCACTCACATGATGTACACACCTTTTGACACCTCCCCACTCACATGATGTACACACCTTTTGACACCTCCCCACTCACATGATGTACACACCTTTTGACACCTCCCCACTCACATGATGTACACACCTTTTGACACCTCCCCACTCACATGATGTACACACCTTTTGACACCTCCCCACTCACATGATGTACACACCTTTTGACACCTCCCCACTCACATGATGTACACACCTTTTGACACCTCCCCACTCACATGATGTTGATAATTTTTGACACCTCCCCACTCACATGATGTAAAAACACCTTTTGACAACTCCCCGCTCACATGATGTTAACACCTTTTGAAACCTCCACACTCACATGATGTAAAAACACCTTTTGACACCTCCCCGCTCACATGATGTAAAAACACCCTTTGACACCTCGCCGCTCACATGATGTTAACCCCTTTTGACACCTCCCCGTGATGTTAACACCTTTTGAAGCCTCCACACTCACATGATGTACACACATTTTGACACCTCCCCTCTCTCACATGATGTAACAACACCTTTTGACACCTCCCCGCTCACATGATGTAAACACCTTTTGACACCTCCCCGCTCACATGATGTTAACACCTTTTGACACCTCTTAATTCACATGATGTACACACCTTTTGACACTTCCCCACTCACATGATGTTAATACCTTTTGACACCTCCCCACTCACATGATGTACATACCTTTTGACACTTCCCACTCACATGATGTTAATACTTTTTGACGCTTCCCCACTCACATGATGTTAATACCTTTTGAAACCTCCCCACTCACATGATGTTAGTACCTTTTCACACCTCCCCGCTCACATGATGTACACACCTTTTGACACTTTCCCACTTACATGATGTAAACACCTGATGATACCTCCTCACTCACATGATGTTAGTACCTTTTGACACCTCCCCGCTCACATGATGTCCACACCTTTTGACACTTTCACACTTACATGATGTACACACATTTTGACCCCTCCCCGCTCCCATGATGTACACCCCTTTTGACACTTCCCCTCTCACATGATGTAAACTCCTTTTGACACCTCCCCACTCACATGATGTTAACACCTTTTGACACCTCCCAACTCACATGATGTACACACCTTTTGACACCTCCCCACTCACTTGATGTACACACATTTTGACACCTCCCCTCTCTCACATGACGTAAACACCTTTTGACACCTCCCCACTCACATGATGTTAATAACTTTTGAAACCTCCCCACTCACATGATGTTAATACCTTTTGACACCTCCCCACTCACATGATGTAAACACCTTTTGACACCTCCCCACTCACATGATGTTAACACCTTTTGACACCTCCCCACTCACATGATGTAAACACCTTTTGACACCTCCCCACTCACATGATGTTAACACCTTTTGACACCTCCCCACTCACATGATGTAAACACCTTTTGACACCTCCCCACTCACATGATGTAAACACCTTTTGATACCTCCCCGCTCACATGATGTTAATACCTTTTGACACCTCCCCGCTCACATGATGTAAACACCTTTTGACACCTCCCCACTCACATGATGTAAACACCTTTTGACACCTCCCCACTCACATGATGTACACACCTTTTGACACCTCCCCACTCACATGATGTAAACACCTTTTGATACCTCCCCGCTCACATGATGTTAATACCTTTTGACACCTCCCCGCTCAAATGATGTAAACACCTTTTGACACCTCCCCACTCACATGATGTTAACACCTTTTGACACCTCCCCACTCACATGATGTACACACCTTTTGACACCTCCCCACTCATATGATGTTAAAATCTTTTGACACCTCCCCACTCACATGATGTAAACACCTTTTGATACCTCCCCGCTCACATGATGTTAACACCTTTTGACACCTCCCCGCTCACATGATGTAAACACCTTTTGACACCTCCCCGCTCACATGATGTACACACCTTTTGACACCTCCCCACTCATATGACGTAAACACCTTTTGACACTTCCCCACTCACATGATGTAAACACCTTTTGACACCTCCCCGCTCACATGATGTACACACCTTTTGACACCTCCCCACTCATATGACGTAAACACCTTTTGACACTTCCCCACTCACATGATGTAAACACCTTTTGACACCTCCCCACTCACATGATGTAAATGCTTTTCGGATTCCCTCTACACTGTCTCCATGTCCCAGTTTTTTAGCCTCCTTTATTGGTTAATTGAACAGTAGAAGAAGCCATTTGGAAAAAAGAAAATTTAAAAGAAATTTTCCACTTCCAAAATTCAACTTCTTGGGACTAGGTATTGAATTTTTGATGAGTGGTTTTAAAATTGAAAGTTAAGCACACGACTGACACTTGCACCAATGAAGAGAATGAGAGTTGTCAGTCCTGATCTCCTGTAACTGGATCGGAGTAGGCCATTACTTTATGGTCTCCCTGGGCCCAATCACATCACCAAAGTGTTTGTCTTGTGACATCTGCTGGCATTTCACAGTAGTTGGGAAGCATTTATTACAGGTGAGGGAGAGCCAGCACTGCAAAATTCAGGGTCGGAAAAGAGTAACAATTATCTGTTCTACCGGTTCACCCATAACTTAGACATTGAGAACATTTTTGAACTTTTTTGAAGTGACAATGTAATTTACAAACATTGTATGTATTCCTTTAACTGATGTCGTACTTTTCTGATACTTTTTAAGTGTCTCCGAGGTTTTACATACCAATATTTATCCTGTTATAAGTCCAGGGGGCTTAGGCATAAAATCTGAATCAAAGTAGGCGGTGGTTTATTATAATTGCAGGACAAAATGTATGGTTTCTACTGAACAGTTATTGAAATTGGTTGGCTTATTACCAGGCATGGGCTTATTGCCAGATAAGTTCAGTAATAAATACCACAAACTGTAACATGGTACATGAACTGATTCTAACTTGAGAGACCACTTCTACTAAAATACCAGTGTTGATAAACCACTTTCAAAACTATCCACCTGTATTAACAGACCACCTGTATTAACAAACCACCTGTATTAACAGACCACCTGTATTAGCAGACATCCTGCATTAACAGGCCACCTGTATTAACAGACCACTTGTATTAACAGACTACCTGTATTAACAAACCACCTGTATTAACAAACCACCTGTATTAACAGACCACCTGTATTAGCAGACATCCTGCATTAACAGGCCACCTGTATAAACAGACCACTTGTATTAACAGACTACCTGTATTAACAGACCACCTGTATTAACAGACTACCTGTATTAACCAACCAGCTGTATTAACAAACCACCTGTATTAACAGACCACCTGTATTAGCAGACTACCTGCATTAACAGACTACCTGTATCAACAGACCACCTGTATTAACAGACCACCTGTATTAGCAGGCCACTGGTATTAACATACCTCCTGTATTAACAGACCAACTGTATTAACAGACCACCTGTTTAAACAGACATGCTATATCAACAGACCACCTGTAATATGAGACCACCTATATTAACAGGCCACCTGTATTAACAGACCACCTGTATTAACAGACCATCTATATTAACAGGCCATCGGTATTAACAGACCACCTGTATTAACAGATACTGTGTCAACAGACCACCTGTAATAACAGACCATCTATATTAACAGGCCTCCTGTATTAACAGACCATCTGTATTAACAAACCACCTGTATTAACAAACCACCTGTATCAACAAACCACCTGTATTAACAGACCATCTATATTAACAGGCCATCTGTATTAACTGATCACCTGTATTAACAAACCACCTGTTTTAACAAACCACCTGTATTAACAGACCACCTGTATTAACAGACCATCTGCATTAACAGACTACCTGTATTAGCATACTACCTGTAATAACAGACCATCTGTATTAACAGACCACCTGTATTAACAGACCATCTGTATTAACATACTGCCTGTATTAACAGACCATCTGTATTAACAGACCATCTGTATTAATAAACCATCTGTATCAACATACCACCTGTATTTACAGATCACCTGTTAAACAGACCACCTGTATTTACAGATCACCTGTATTTACAGACCACCTGTATTTACAGATCACCTCTATTTACAGATCACCTGTTAAACAGACCACCTGTATTTACAGACCACCTGTATTTACAGACCACCTGTATTTACAGACCACCTATATTAACAGACCACCTGTATTTACAGATCACCTGTATTTACAGACCACCTGTTTTTACAGATCACCTTATTTACAGACCACCTATATTTACAGACCACCTGTATTTACAGACCACCTGTATTTACAGACCACCTATATTAACAGACCACCTGTATTTACAGACCACCTGTATTTACAGACCACCTGTATTTACAGACCACCTGTATTTACAGACCACCTGTATTTACAGATCACCTGTATTTACAGACCACCTGTATTTACAGACCACCTGTATTTACAGACCACCTGTATTTACAGACCACCTGTATTTACAGACCACCTGTATTTACAGACCACCTGTATTTACAGACCACCTGTATTTACAGACCACCTGTATTTACAGACCACCTGTATTTACAGACCACCTGTATTTACAGACCACCTGTATTTACAGACCACCTGTATTTACAGACCACCTGTATTTACAGACCACCTGTATTTACAGACCACCTGTATTTACAGACCACCTGTATTTACAGACCACCTGTATTTACAGACCACCTGTATTTACAGACCACCTGTATTTACAGACCACCTTTATTTACAGACCACCTATATTTACAGACCACCTATATTTACAGATCACCTATATTTACAGATCACCTATATTTACAGACCACCTGTATTTACAGACCACCTGTATTAACAAACCATTTTATAGGCTACCTGTGTGTAGACTCTGACTACAGGTTAGCTATATAATAGTATGATTGTGTAAAGTTCCAAATAAATCTGTTATGAAAATACGTGTTATGGTTATCGAGTGTCTAAAAGAAGAAATTTTCAAGTAAAATCTTATTTTTATGTACATTGTGTATGTATAATGTATACATTTATATATTTTGATATGTTGTCCCTCGATTTATCCACAAGATATATATACCTGATCCATATAACAGCTTTAATCTGATTGGATTAGATGGAGCACATGACATCAAAATAAAACATGATCAGATCATATTTCCTTAACAAGACCCAGTTTTGGTTATTGATACACTTACTCCGTGAATATTCTTTCACTGGTCTTTCCCATATTAGTAAAATGAAAGAACAAACCATGTTTGTTCTACAACAATTATGAAAAAAGTTATATAAATTTATGTTATTCACTCTTGTTGACCTGGATGTTAGTGCACAGGGGAATATATTAATGTGGGAGGAATCCGGAGTACCCACAGAAAACTCACATGGTCGGCAAGTGACCCTATACCTTGGCCATATTGGATGATCTAGCCTCTCTGTCTAGAAGATCATTCAAATGAATGCCCTTGAACCAATGCGCCTGTTTGTCCCTGTATCATGTCCCAGGACAAAGTTTAAATTAAACAGACATGTAAAAAGGCCTTTTGCTTCACAAGTTGACTTTCTATTGTTATAGAAGTTTTGGTTGCTAGACCAGTACTTAGACCGTTAAGTTATCCACAGATAATAAACAGGAATCACTCAATGCCTGTTATGAATCTAATTCATCTTCAATCTAATCGTAATCAATGTCTGTTTTATTTTTCAGGCAGAATTTTCAGAGCTAAATTTGGCTTCCTATACTGACACAGGAACAATGGTGGACATCCAGATACTGAGGAATGGTACAAAGGTGGTGAGGTAAGTGTCTGATACAGCAGGCTAGCACAAAGAGCAATGGTGGACATCCAGATACTGAGGAATGGTACAACAGTGGTGAGGTGAGTGTCTGATACAGCAGGCTAGCACAAAACACAATGGCGGACATCCAGATACTGAGGAATGGTACAAAGGTGTTGAGGTAAGTGTCTTATACAGCAGGCCAGCACAAAAAACAATGGTGGACATCCAGATACTGAGGAATGGTACAACAGTGGTGAGGTAAGTGTCTGATACAGCAGGCTAGCACAAAAAAACAATGGTGGACATCCAGATACTGGGGAATGGTACAAAGGTGGTGAGGTAAGTGTCTGATACAGCAGGCCAGCACACAGAACAATGGTGGACATCCAGATACTGACGAATGGGTACAAAGGTGGTGAGGTAAGTGTCTGATACAGCAGGCCAACACAAAGAACAATGGTGGACATCAAGACACTGATGAATGGTACAAAGGTGGTGAGGTAAGTGTCTGACACAGCAGGCAAACACAAAGAACAATGGTGGGCATCCAGATACTGAGGAATGGTACAAAGGTGGTGCGGTAAGTGTCTGAGACACCAGGCCAGCACAAAGAACAATGGTGGACATCCAGATACTGAGGAATGTTACAAAGGTGCTGAGGTAAGTGTCTGATACAGCAGGCCAACACAAAGAAAAATGGTGGGCATCCAGATACTGAGGAATGGTACAAAGGTGGTGCGGTAAGTGTCTGAGACACCAGGCCAGCACAAAGAACAATGGTGGACATCCAGATACTGGGGAATGCTACAAAGGTGGTGAGGTAAGTGTCTGATACAGCAGGCCAGAGGTAAGTGTCTGATACAGCAGGCTAGCACAAAGAACAATGATGGACATCCAGATACTCAGGAATGGTACAAAGGTGGTGAGGTAAGTGTCTGATACAGCAGGCTAGCACAAAGAACAATGGTGGACATCCAGATACTGGGGAATGCTACAAAGGTGGTGAGGTAAGTGTCTGATACAGCAGGCTAGCACAAAAAAACAATGGTGGACATTCAGATACTGGGGAATGGTACAAAGGTGGTGAGGTAAGTGTCTGATACAGCAGGCCAACACAAAGAACAATGGTGGACATCAAGACACTGATGAATGGTACAAAGGTGGTGAGGTAAGTGTCTGACACAGCAGGCAAACACAAAGAACAATGGTGGACATCCAGATACTAAGGAATGGTACAAAGGTGTTGAGGTAAGTGTCTGATACAGCAGGTCAGCACAAAAAACAATGGTGGACATCCAGATACTGAGGAATGTTACAAAGGTGGTGAGGTAAGTGTCTGATACAGCAGGCTAGCACAAAGAACAATGATGGACATCCAGATACTCAGGAATGGTACAAAGGTGGTGAGGTAAGTGTCTGAGACAGCAGGCCAACACAAAGAACAATGGTGCACATCCAGATACTGAGGAATGGTACAAAGGTGGAGAGGTAAGTGTCTGATACAGCAGGCCAACACAAAGAACAAAGGTGGACATCCAGATACTGAGGAATGTTACAAAGGTGGTGAGGTAAGTGTCTGATACAGCAGGCCACCACAAAGAACAATGGTGGACATCAAGACACTGAGGAATGGTACAAAGGTGGTGAGGTAAGTGTCTGAGACAGCAGGCCAACACAAAGAACAATGGTGGACATCAAGACACTGATGAATGGTACAAAGGTGGTGAGGTAAGTGTCTGAGACACCAGGCCAGCACAAAGAACAATGGTGGACATCCAGATACTGAGGAATAATACAAAGGTGGTGAGGTAAGTGTCTGATACCGCAGGCCAGCACACAGAACAATGGTGGACATCCAGATACTGACGAATGGTACAAAGGTGTTGAGATAAGTGTCTGATACAGCAGGCCAGCACAAAGAACAATGGTGGACATCCAGATACTGAGGAATGGTACAAAGGTGGTG